ATATCACATTATCACAATATCCATTAGGTACTTATAACACGTTATACATCAAGATCAATTACAAACCCTGATACTATCATTGATATATAATAGTACACTTTAGAAGTTTCAAGTAGGTACCCACGAATAATATTATATAATCACAACAAAATAACTAGGTTTTTTAATATGTAATTTCGTCCAAATTTGAACATAAAATGACTATAAAAATAAACTGTGATTGTATATTTTTTAGATTTTTCAGTAAGAGAATTAACTACTTACGTAGAATCTTGTTTTAAATTTTCAATCCTTAGCTATAAAAACTGAACATTTTAGAATTTATTAATTACGATGATTAATAATTTTCGAGATTTTGAAAAATTCTGTCAAAATTCGATCTTTAAATGCTTATAAAAAAAACTGTGCCTATGTATTTTTAATATTTTTCAACTGCTATTGTAACAATATATCAGGAGCCTTGTATTAAATTTTTACACTTTTTGGCTCAAAAGATAAAACTTTATTGATATTTGTAGAAAAAAAAACTAAAAAAAATTGAAAGCTGTAAATGTCCATAAACAGCTCAAAAAGAGTCAAAATATTTTCAAAATTGTATGGTGTATAGAAAATGCTAATTTAAACATTCAGTGAAATTTTCATGTATCTACAGTTGTTCGTTTTTGAATTGCAACAAAAGAAGGAAATCGCTACATGAGTAATCGAGTGAAAATCCAATGTTGTAAAAATTTGAATTTCAAACGCTCATAAAAATTTAATTTGACTGTCCGGTAGAGATTTTTTTATTGATAAAGGTAGATAATCTTATAAGGAATCTTGTGTTTCATTTTCAAATCTTAGATTTAAAAAGAAAAATTTTTACGAATTCTTAACTCAAAATAATTTGCTAATTTTCGTGATTTTTCCATATTTTGTCAATTTTTGAACTTTAAATGCTTATAAAAAAAAATTGTGACTAAGGATTTTTAATATTTTTCATCTGCCTTTGAAACAACATATTAAGAGCCTTCTATTAAATTTTCAAGCTTTCGCAACCAACAAATAAAATTTTATTGATATTTTTAGAAAAAAAACTAAAAAAAAAATGGAAAATGAAAATGTCCCTAAACAGTTCAAAATAAATCAAAATATTTTGAAAATTTTATCGTGTATAGAAAATGCAAATATAAACAACCAGTAAAAATTTCATGTATCTACGGTCATTTGTTTTAAAGTTACACCAAAAACCAAATTCGATTTTGTCAAAAACTGATTTTGCGTAAAAATTCCCGTTTTTCCTTAATTTTTATGTTGTTTTTCCCGGCGCTTGTGAAAACTATTGGGAATTTTAAATTTTGACCTCCCCAATGCACCAACGATATTCACTTTCCAATCGAACAAGATACTGAAGTCGAAATCGAAGCATTATTTCGACTACTTATCGTGTACACAGACACAAAAATAAAAAAATAAAAAAATAAAAATAAAAAAATAAAAAAAAACACACATCATTGTAAAATCAATACATTCATCGTTTCACTCAGAATCTAAAATTAGTTTATAGCATTATTTTAGTAAAATATTTGGTATGATTAGGTACTTACCAAAGGTTGTTAAAAATGAAAAATAATTACAAATACCTAAAAAGAGTTAAAAATAATTGAAAACTTACAGACTACATTACTTTTTAAATGATATTATTACCGGTGGTATACTTATAAATTATCAATAGTAAATTTAATATTTTTATAGCATTTCAGTACATTGTAATTTAAAGTTTAATTTGTATTAATAAGTAGAATACCCAACTCCTTGGAAAAATCATGACTACGCGCTTACTCCAAGGCTAAATACTTAATTTTTTGAAAATGGTCATGTAGTTCAGTCGTTGGCAGTAAATATAATATTATATTTATTTTACCCGAGCAACTGAAATATTCAAATCACCTAGCCGTTTGGGGACTGTTAACAGAGAATTAACCACTAAACAACTTTCTCCAACAACTATTCCATAATTAATAACGAAACTAATTTATTCTATTCATCATAATACAACTGTTTTAACACCAATAGCTAAATTATATAAAACTGATAATAAATTAAAATCATTATAATAATTGCATACCTACTCATATTTTATCATAAATTTAAAACTTAAAGATAAAAATTAGAATTATATAATAGATACAAATTATAGCTGAAATAATTTAAAAGTTTTTATCATTTTTGAATAAATCATAAAAAAAAATTTTAAAAAACAAATGGTAATATTAATAATAATATAAATTGAAATTTAAAGGAAAAACGATAGCTATGGTAGGTACATACGTATAAGGATAATAATATTGTAAAAGCTTGTCTGTTGTATGACCCACGCTTGGTTAGGTCCTACTTACCAATAAACAAAAATAATAATATTGCCCGTTTTATTATACAATCATAATAATATTAGGTTTCCAATCGAGTTATCATAACCGTTCTGAAAATGCGATTCAATTTCACAAATGGATTTAAAATATGTGTTATGTATAATATATGTGTGTACATTATTAAGCTTGCTCTAAGGTGTCTAATGTTTTTATACACAGTAGCCAGTAAGTCTGTACATTATACAATATATAAATATTATTATTTATCAGTATATATATGATTGTACATTATACATGGTTAAACATAATGACGTGTTAGTGTGTTAGGGTATAAAATAAATATTTATTTTTATTGAACAATATAAACCAAGTTCAGTGAAAATTAATGCTGATGACTTAACTATTCTGAGGGAGCGATGTTTCACACTTGTACGTAAAATAAAATTACTTTTAAGGTGAATTTGATGTTTATTTCACAATCATTTACATAAAACTATAACATTTAGATAACTACAAAATAAATACAGCTTTTTTAACACCCGGCAATAAATTGTGTTAGTTTGGGTTTATTTATACACTATATAGTTCTATACTTATTATAATATGTATTACATGCAAAACTGAGAAATTCAGGGACAAAACACTAAGGGCCGATTTCACCAACACAGTTAATCACGGTTAACGCTTAATCGGCTGATAACAGATATTTATAACCGGCCAAATTCAGCCGATTAAAACTCCGGTTAACTTTAATCGTGATTAACTGTGTTGGTGAAATCGGCACTAAGTGCCCAGTATACTTTTAGGAAAAATGTCAAATCGTATCATTAACGTAAATTGAGAAAATCTATAGGCTGTAGCAGCATTTACTCCTGTAAATTATAATTAATGTAGGTACTTACATCATAGTGCAGAAGTATTAATTGATACCTACTTCTTACAGAATAAGTTAAAAATAAAAATACAATTAAACCATCGTTTTCAAAAATTCGCAAATAAAATTAATTATAATTACTTAAAAATAATATCTATAGTATCGCGAGAGGTTGTTAAAAATATTTAAAATCGATCGCAAAAAACTCGACATATTTACAATATCTTTCATATTGGATATTCTTACATCATGGTTCCGCAAAGTTTTCATAAATAATTCTATCGAGTATTGACTTACGACTAACGATAATCATTAAAATCTCTTTGATTTAAATTTAACTAACGAAAAATCATGTACCTATAAGTACGCAAATACGCAATAGAATAAAATAGAAGTTCAAGAAACAATACACAATACACTAGGTATTTTATAGTCATAATATATTATATATGAGTATATGACTATAAATACTATATTATAATTAACAAATCGTTGTTTTAACTAGAGACTTAAAAAGTTTAATGAGATTAAACGACATCCGTTGTAATGTAATATTTTAAAGTTTTAAACAAAGCTAATTCAAATAAATTCAAACAATTCAAACAATTCAAATGCAAAAATATACGTAATAAATGAATTCGTCAAGTAATCCAAGTTAATTGGCAGATATTATAAACAATAGTATAGTATTGTACATTAAACATAGCCGCTCGAAAAATGTTCATAAATTTTAATTTGTTTTCATTATAGCAACTTACCAACTAGTATGTTGTCTATATTGAACATTACATGTATAAAATGGAATTGCCCATAATAATTTCTTATGGAAGCTAAAATGTTCAGAAAAATAATTTCTATGATAATCAATAATGTTTATGTAAATAAATTACAGATCACTAATCAGCATATCGAAAGTGAAGACTTTTATATAAACTTTTGACTGTTTATTTTAACAAACGAAAAAGAAGAATCAAATTATCATGATAATTGACTATTGACTAATATTAGGCAATAGAGTTTGGTTGAAAGTTTTCAAAAACATCGACATTTTATCATAAATTCCGTTTATATTAAAAATGCTCATAATATATCTATATATATACCTAATAGGTAAAGCTGAAAATCGTTATCGTATATTTAAGAATTTAAAAATTTGAACTTTTATAAATGCAAAGTAAATAGTAAATACAAGAAATACGAATACTAGTAATAATAAATATTTAAATAATCCAAACATAAACTAAAAACAAAAGTCTATAATGGCATTTTTAAATCCCTGCGGGCCTGAGCCAATGTTATTCTCTTCCTAAGTAAATAACACCAGATTATATAAGCTGCAAAATAACACAGGTTAGACAAACATTTTGTACAAAAAAATAGAGCAAAGAAAAAACTATAAAATTAATAGTTGTTGTATTAGGCATTAGGTACAAAATTTTTTTATTTAGTTATTCCAAGTTGATCTGCAGATTACCATGTTTTTTTCGGATATTCATTAAAACGATATTTTCTTTTCATATTGTATAACGATCATACACATAATATAGTTTAATAATTACATTGAACAGTTTTCGCGAAGATGCGCGTGTTATCGCAGCGGACGAAAATCACATGGAAACATTCTATATACTTTCGGTCCGCGCGCACGCTATACATAAATAGGTAGTACCTATACGTGCAGCGACAATGATCAAAGACAATCTCTGCGATCACCGTCATCGTTGACCGCCGTCATCATTATTTATCATGACGTGCGCGCGCATATTATGTCATTATTGCTATATTATACCAACCTCGTCGATCTGCATGTCGGCTTGCCGGTCGATGACGCCGTAAAAGTTGTTGGTGCACAGGCTGTTGGTCTGCTGCAGTCGCCTGTGCTGAGCGCGGCTAGTGCCACTGCCACCGCCACGGTCTGGGCACGGCGACAACCTCGGGGCCGCGGGCACGCACACCGGTTGCTGCTGTTGCTGTTGCTGTTTGCACAGCTCGTGCAGGTTGGGCAGCGAGCCCATCGCTGCCGGATATCACTCTGCGGCAGCGACAACGACGACGACCACGGCCGCGGATTGATATAATGCAGCTAGCACGTATGTGGTACCTACCTATAGTGAATCGTGTACTGCGCGCGTGCACACGTATATCGTACTGCGCGAGTGTCGTATATCGCGACGGAGATAGCGGCAGCGCCACGCGTATAAACACACGACGACCGCGAGGGATACTCTGTGCGCCCGCGCGATATCACGACGTCACGCTCTTATTTGCGCGCAAACGTGTCGCTATAACGACCGCGTAGGTACGCGTGTTTGTGTGTGCGGTACACACGATGAAATCATAAGCAGCGGCGACCCGGACCGATGATGCGAGCGCGTGGCCCGCCCCGTTGCTGGCGTGCTCATGCGTCGATCGATATAGACGCCGCGACGCGACCTCAGAGAGAGGTCGTCGTCGTGTCGTCGTCGTCGTCGTCTTCGTCTACGGAGGTAGCCATCGCGGGTGTCGTTTAGCTACGCTTTGCAGCCTGTTGCGCCCGCTATGTTATCATAACAAGAGTATTATTGTTGCGATGTAGGTACCTATTATTTGGACCACGCGTCCCGTTTGAGGATGTTGAGATTATAACCAGCGTGACCAGCATAATGTACTATAATGTACAGTGGTCGTTTACTTATTTTCTGTGATTGACAGTTTCCCAAAGAAAGAGCACACTACATGACATAGTTCCAATGAGTTGTTCGAAAATCGAATCTTGTAGGTACAGCTTCAAGAAATTTAGATCAAAAACTAAACCTATAATTGTTATACAATTTGTTCAAATGTGTAACCACAATTTTAAAATGTGTACAATCCCCCCAACACAAATAGGTACTTGTTAAATCAATGTTTTATGTCACATAGAAAAATGATAGTTTGAGTAATAGTGGAACACGTCATTAAGTTTCTAAAATTAATAACAAAAACAACAAAAAACACTCAGCTTACCGTTTGCCGATTGACCGCAATATTATGTCTTGCGAATAATGGTATCTAATGCATATTATGTCTTCAATAGACTTAAGTATAAAAAATAAAAATCTATAACCTAACCTAACATAATATATTTTAAAAGTATAAGTTAACACCTAACTCAGTGGTCAAACAGCCGTATTAGTGGAAATTGGAGGAGGGAAATTGATGGGACATTATTGGGATTACAAACTAAGCCACCCCCCTCCTTGTCACCTTATAAATATTAAAATGTTAATAAATAGACTAGCAGCTCCTAAATACCCTGATTTTCGTGAAACATATTTAAATAAATTGTATTCATTGAATAACTTTATTTTATTCATCGACATTCAACAGTGAACTATTCATCACTATGAACTAGACCCGTGTGCGAAGATTTATTTTGAGGCCACAAATTTAAAATATAAGGAAGTTATTTTATTAACTAGTTATAACTATTCATTAACCATATCAAACAAATCAATATCAATGTTACATACTCCACTAATGTAAAATTAAAATAACTGAAATAATAGGTCGTACAATTTTTTTCTATCAAAATTAGTTATACCGTGTTATTACTATTAAAGTAACTTATCTTAAATAACTATAACTATATCTTAAATCGTGCTCGAGAACCGAAATTCAGCGAGTTTTACTCAGACTGCATTTTGTCCAAGTCGTAAGTGTGTAAGACGGAGACAACACATGCTACATGCGGCTGTGTCCAGGATTTTAGTTCGGTTAGGGTTTAACTGAGTAAATAATTTACATTATTTTTTTCTAATCAGTTTTTATATAACAAATTATAGTTACTCTCAAATATGGTCTACATTTACAGTGTTTAACCTTTAACCTAGTCATCTATAGATGAGAGCATCTTCGGGCTGTAATAAACATGGTAATAATAATCGACGGACGATGATACACCATCGATTATATTTAGCCATGTTCTAAATCAGCCAAAAAAAAAACAGAAACTGTGATTATATCGACGTCTTCGTCATATTCAACAATTTATTTTATATCTATTAAAAATGACCAACGATTTATCGGTGTGTATCAAAATGGTGGTAAATAAGTTTTTTTGTAGAATAAAGAAATTTCAAGGGGTGGGGAGGGTCAGAACCCTAGAACCTACCCCTGAGTATGACATTGGGTGTGACGTCCTCTGATAAAGGAGCGAATTGATCTATTATCAATAATTTAGAAGTAAGAGTATTATCTTACCTAACCTCGTGACTCGTAGATAGATTTTTTTTTAAATTTTGATTTTAAAGCAATAGTTATGAGTATTTTAAAACGCACAAACAAGGCCTAGTGTGGCGTAGTGCGTGGTGGTTAGGTAGAGGCACTAATGTGTGCTGCTGTCAAACATCTTCCGGCCTCACTATAGCTCCGGGTCACTATAGGTCCCACATACACGTGTTCCTCAACCAAGCATAACCCCCCGCCTCCCTACATAATGCTAATGACCATAGTTGCAGATGCCTAAGTTCAAAAAAAAACAATACACAAACAATTTACCATTTTAAAATACTCATAACTTGCATTAAAATAAAAATATAAAAAAACCTATAAGGTTCACTAGCAAAGCCGTGTCAAGCAACTCAGCGCCCCAGGGCAATTCGCTCCCCTTTCCTACAATGTACACACAGGTAGCATATTAAGCCCAAATAAAGGCACCCCCTTACTTTTAAAAAACTATGGCACCCGGGGGCAATTGCCCCCTTTGCCCCTCCTGTTCACTAGATAATATTCTTACTTCTAAAGAACGTACAATTTTCAATGCTACACGTTTGCAAGACAGAGATAGTGTTGCGTCTTCTTAACTATTATCATTTATCGTAAGCCACTACAACTTACTTGTACTGTTGCATCGGAGTTTCCATAAAAACGAAATACTGATATAATACGAAATACCCATACAATATCGGTGGGCTGCACAAAATATGGGCCGAGTGTTTGGTCGTAATTTTATTTTTATATGATAATTATTAATTAGCGCAAACTTTTGTAGAGAAATATAATTGAATCAAATTATTAAATCATAGAGTACCTGTAGCTATAATCAAACATAATAAATCCTAAAACTCGGTGGGCCGATTCCTTTCCTATCCGACGCTAGCACGCTGCGTGTTAATAATTTTAAAATTCATGGTCTGCAATTCTATAAAATTTGAATATGATTTTATATTATATTTTACTAGCTGATCCCGTGCACTTCGTTACCCGTTAAATGTACAAATTGTATATGACTCAAACTTTGATCAGGTGTACCTTATGATATTCTAGATTTATCTGTACTTTTCTGTTGCCCGGAATAAAAATTCTGATTCGCAGCAGTACATTATCAGGTCGGCAATCTACCTGCGGTAGGTCGCGGACCCCGTGCTCGTGCTGTTTGTACATAAGTGTATGATTTAACTCTAAAGTATCAAAGTTATACCAAGTTTGTCGTTTTTACTTAATTCCACCCCTACGGTGGATTAATATAATCAATTAATACAAAATTCTAACCTGACCTAACCGTACTAAAATCCGATGACTAAAAAAAACCAAATTTAACCCTTTTTAAATTAGCCCACTTCTTCCCAGAGGTCTAATCCACCCACAAACATTCATTTATATATATATATATTGACAAAAAATAATAATACAAATCAACAAACATGCCCGATTAACCAATAGCAACCAATATGACGCGGTCCTGCTTAATGGCAGTTTGAATTCAAACAGCCTTTACGCGGAAGCCGCGCTGTGGCTTCTCAAACAAACCGCCAATTGACGACGGACGACGCCGCGCTGGCGCGCGACACCCGCGCCATGAACCGTCGCGTCGGCCGGCCGTTGCCCGTTCGGCGAACCGGCTTGTTGAAGTCACTTGTTAGTTGTTTTTCTCAGCGACCCGGACGGCGGACACGGACCTCGACAGTCGACAGTCGACAGTCGACAGTTCGACACACACATCCCCGCGAGTCGTAAGACAAATTACTATCGATACCGTTTCGCAATTTCATTGTATGATTTGACTACAAATAAAAACCCAACTACATTAGTGCGTCTTTCTTGTTGTTTCTTTTTTTTGTCACCTTCACACACCATCCCCGCTGCACCCCACAGGTCCGCATCAAATATATTATAATACACTATTATTATTTAATTATTAATATTATTTTTTTTTCCTGGACAACCCTTATAACTTAGGGGTATAAAAAATAAATAGTAACCGATTCTCAGACCTACTGAATATGCATATAAAATTTCATAAAAATCGGTCAAGCCGTTTCGGAGGAGTATGGTAACTAACATTGTGACACGAGAATTTTATATATTAGATTATATTTTAGTTGCTTCGTACCTACTTAAATTATAATACTTTTCCACTAAACTACTGCAGTAGCTTGAATCTTGATACCTATTTAAATTTATGATTGCATTATTTGGTTGCCTATTTAGCATTCCGTACATTATAATATTATATATATTGAAGATCATAATATTCGCGATGTAAAAATAAGTCATACATTATTAAGTCAAACATGTCCAATCGACATTGAATGTTCCAAGTTATAGGTACTTGTCACTTGAGAACGAAAGTATACATTTTACTATTTTAGACATCTTATTTTAAAGGAAGAACTGTGAACTAATGACAAATCTTCAGCATGTATTATGTTAAAGAACCTACCTATATCAAGAATGAAGGTTTAGAAGACATATTTCCTAACTTGGAAATAATACTGAGAATGTATATGACACATATTGAGTAGCCTACTTGCTGTAGATAATTGTATTGGTGAACATTCTTTTTCAGTAATAAAAGGGGTTAAACACTACATGAGATTTACAATCAAAGAAGACTGTTCATAAGCAATAGTCTTATTTAATATTGAAAGGTTTGTGCTTTCTTTATAAGTCTATGATTGAAATTTGAAGCAGAACTTTTGAAATTTGCAGAACATAATACATTTATAAATGATTTTGCGATTGCATTATTGCAAAAGTTAAAAAAATGCCTATA